TCTATGTTTCCAAACTTACTTATTTTAAATACTGCTATTCATGTTTCCAAACAAAAGGTTAAAGTACTTCTACTTTAATAAGATAGATGCTCATGCAATTGGTGTATTAACTAACTAACCTTGCTCATGTCTCTTGATTTAGTGATGAGAGTTCCTGGAGCAGTGGGATTGTAAGAGTTCTTAACCCTTACAGGAATGTTTCCTTCTCTAGCTGGCCGCATGGAAAGTGGATGCAACACCTGTGCACCAAAGTAAGCTAGTTGAGCTGCCTCATCAAATGTCAAGTGTGGAACTGGTTGAGCTCTGCGGTATATGTTTGGATCACAAGTCAAAACTCCATCCACATCTTTCCAAACCTGTCACCACAGTTAAATTCCTTCTTGGTTTAAACAAAACCTCTTTTAAAATAAACTCAATCTTTAATAAAATTAACCCATAAGCATACCTGGACCTCCCTCAAACCTAAAGCTTTCCCAATTGTTGTTGCAGTCAAGTCACTACCTCCTCTCCCCAACGTAGTAACAGCGCAAGATCTCCATCCCTGCAGAGTAAAGTATTTTGTTCTTTATGTCAGAAAAAGGCACAAGAGGACTCATAAATTGCTAAAATGGTTTCAAACCTTTCCAAGAAAGCCTGTGACAACGGGGACTGCATGTTCCTTGGTCCAGTCACCAAGTAACCTTTTAGAAACTGCTGGGTATGTTGCCTCAAGAACATCAGCGTTTGTGAAGTTATCTGTGGTGATAATCCCCATCTCAAATGCATCGTACTGCCAAAGATTAAAAAACCTTATCAAAGTCAGTCATGAAATAACAATCTTTAGGCCTCAGATAAGAAACAAAATCAAGGTGACTAACCTGGCGGGCTTTGTGGCCTATTTTGTTCAGGTATGCAGCAAAAAGCCTCGTGGACATGCACTCTCCAAATGAAACCAAGTAGTCTCTTGTGCGTAGAGTTAACTCTTTCATCATTGCAATGCCGTGGAGAAGCTGCTCTAGTCCTTCTAGATGCTCTATAAACAGATTAAACGACAGAAAGATTCAGATACTAAAACATATAAAGCAAATGTGAAAATTGTATAAAAAGAAAAAAAAAATTCTATGGAACTAACTTGCAATAACTGCTGTTCCCACTCCAAGCTCATGAGCAGTCCTGGACGTAAGAGAGTAAAGATTAGACATGAGAACAAAGCAAATATTTATAAAAATAAGAAGGTAATAAAGTAGTGTATGTATCTTCTATGCAACCTTATATGGAGATCCTTTATATAGCTCAACTCTTCAATAGTGTTTATGTTGGTGACGCCGCAGCAAACAGCCTTCTCACCAGCCTAATGAAAAGCCAAAGTGAAAGTTTTATTACACAAAGAGACAAGGAAAGATGTACACAAGATTGGTTTTTATATATTTACCATCAAAAGCTTATTGGTGGTCTTTGCCATTGCTGAAAGCACAACAACAGGCTTCTCATCAGGGAAGCTGAGTATGAGATTGGCAACTTCTTTCATCCTTTCTGCTGATGCAAGTGATGAGCCACCAAATTTCATTACACAAGTCAACTTAATCTCAGTTCTGTTTAGTTTGAAAGTGTCGGTGTCGTTTCTCTCAAGCAATTCCGCCCTTCTAGCTTCACAGGTAACTCTTAGAGCTCTGTTCCTCCCACAAGAATGGTTTATGTCTCTAGTCAACACGGGAGCAAGGAGATTCATCCCCTTTGAGCCGAACTCGAACCTTTTTGAGTTTAAGGCAAGCCCCGAAGTTCTAACTCCGCACAAGTGCATTGAAGCCGCCATCACCTCACAACAAGACGACTGTGAAAGCTTACGTTAGAACTCAGAGACGAATGTGTGCGGTAAACCTAAAACGTTTCCGTGGACAGCACGCAAACAAAATTTTAAATACGCATGAACACAAATGCTACAACTTTCACTTAAAATGGATCTTGCAGGGGATATTGAAAGTAGCTTACCAGTTTCTGCGTAACCTTTGGTTTGCCCTTTTAAGCTAAAACGATCGTTGCTACTTTGGAGTGAACGAGCCAATGGAAGTGTTCTTAAATATGTATAACCAATCGAACGATCATTCGACTTTGGACAAATATTTTATTTTTGTACTTTATTCTTCCATATTATATGAATCTGCTTAATGATTCAAACTCATGGGTTAAGTATATATATATACAAGTCATTTTATAAACTCCATGGTGCTATTATTGGAGAAGGTGACGAAAGCACTTGGTGTTACTGAGCTCTTAGGAGGTTGAGGAGGTGCATCAAATATACTTAAATCGAAAAAAACGTGGCTACCTACTCAAAGACAATGTCTTATTATTTTTAATTAGGCAACAGATATAGTTTTCACATTAAGCAGTAGTATACGCATACTGCATCACACGTGGCATCATATGTATCGTCAATAATTCAACATTCAGTGGATGCTTATGGAGTCGAATACGCAATGGACCATACAAAACCTCTCAAAGAGATACCGATCGTTCAATGTGCATGACATGTATTAACAAAAGTTGAAGGGGTTAAGCTGTCTCTATTATATTGCATAAGACCACTAAGCAAGGTGAAAAAGCTACAAGCAAACTAAACTGAAGAACAACATAACAATGTCTGCAACACTTTCAGGAGATACATTTTCAGCAGATATTAGTTCTAGGCTCCCGGCAAAGAGAGTCACTTGTTCTCCTGTTTTAAGACAACAGGAGTTGATGTTTTTATGAGTTTTTGGATGTTTTTCTATATCAAAATTCACTTGTAAGTGCAGAAAGGCGAAAGAGCAGAATGAAACAAAGATTAGACAAATTCTTCTAATCTCTGAACACCAGCTAAAAGAACAGACTTTAAGGAGGCAGAAAGATCGGGAAAAGGAATCCATCCACACAAAAAAAGGCAATCAATTATAATGCTCAACGACAAGCTACTCATGTCATCAAACATACTCATTGCACACAATTCCATATATTAAAAGCATAATGGTTGCATTGTTAGAATCTTCTTGTTGGAAGCTGGACCAATACGCATAAGCCTGGTCGAGTAGTGATTGAGTCTGGGACCACAATTACAACACCAAGCCTCACTAAAATGTAAGAGGGGCAATACTGGCTATAGCATATGTGAAAACCGGAATATAATTCACATATATTGAAAGATTGCACCCAAAAATAAATGAAAAAAAACTTCTGCTGTAGTGTTCCTTCTCTAATCGATATAAGGTAAGAAACAAATTATTGTTACAAGGGTCAAGCGAAAATATACTCTAGTCACATGATTCAAGTTCCATAGTTGGATTTGTTCAGGTCACATTATTATTGTGTTCTGGATCAAAGTTTCAGAGAGTAATAAATTCATCATCTCAATTCATCTTCCCTCTCCAGAGTATGATCTGCTCATCCTTGAACAAAATAGGAACACATGGAACCAAATCCTGCAATTTGAATCACATCATCAAAACCAATCCTACAGAAAGAATCTCACAGACAAAAACACATTCAGAGTTTATACCTTTAGCTTCACACCGATTCGTTTGCAATCACTCATCCCAACGTGAGTGCAATCTAGTCTCACAATCTCTTCTGTTTGAAACTCCTCCCTCACTCTTCCCACAACATTAACATAGACACCGTTCCTAGCTGAAATCAAATACATAACATCAATGCAAATTGAGGAAAAACTAAGTCTGACGTACAAACATGAACTACTTACTAAGTTTCATTAGGGCAGGAGTACGAAGGCCACGGTTTCTCATCTCTTTGGTCTCTTCAAATGTTAAGCCATCTGCGACATTCTTTACGAGTCTCGGATATATTGGTGGGTAAGGCTTCCATAACATGAGTGGTATGGTGGGACGATTGTTGGGATCATAGTTCCTTCCCCGGTACAAAACTAGTATGTTTATGTTCCTATATATAATCTTCCCACCGGATTTTTCCTGTCAAGCACACAACAACAAGTCAACTACTAAAATTCAGCAGAAAGAAGAAGAAAAGATAGAGCCTTATTCTTGATAATTCAACCTCGAGGTGGTAACAAATGTTGTCCATGTCAAGAGTAGGAACTCCCAAGCACTTAATCCTGACTGCCTCAGCTTTCTTCCAATGGTTATGAATGTCATCTATCATATTGTGAGTGACTCCACCCTTCCCTAATAACATCATAACAACAAAAACAAGAATCTTTAACTCAATTGACTATCAAACTTTTAGAAGAATACAATAGCTTGAGAGTGTGTTTCTTAACGAAACAGAGTGTAACCAATCTCAAATTTGATCATGAGAGATCCCAAGACCTTTAAAAATGAATGTAAAACAAAAAGAGGATTAAACAAGCTACATTATCCTCATCCAGTAATCAGACAAATCTACATAATGATAATGAAAGATCCCAAGAAACTTAACTTGCAATGATTTATAAAAGCAGAGTCTTCACAGAAAGAAACTACATTCAAAGCTTAAAGCTTTAGGTTCAAATATCAAAGCTTTTAGCAAGAGGGGGAAGAGGGTAACAGGTACCAAGATTGATCTGACGTGAACAATCACTGTGACGATATCTTTCAACGAGTTCAGCCACTTCCTCCTCATTCAAAGGCTCCCCGAGAACTTTCTCTCTCTCCTCCGACCATTGACTCTGATCACTCTCCTGAGAAGCAGGAGCACAAGTCCCCGTCCAGTTCCGGTCCAATCGACCCGGTCCGAATGGAGAGAACCGTTTCGGTTCACGGAATCCAATTGGTTCGATTTCCGGGTTGGTTTCTGAATAGGAATACCTAAAATCGAAAGGGAGGTCTGAAGTCACCGGCGCCGGAGGGTTATTCAGCGGATCCGATGACTGATCCGGGTGGGTTTTCTTCTTCTTCGGTTTTGGAGGTTTGGAGAGAGGGGAGAATGGTGGGTCATAGTAGTCTGTGGAGAGGACTCGAGCTTGGAGATCACGGAGCGACAAAAACGAGTCTTTTGCCTGTTTCGCTAGAGCTAAGCTTCTGCGAGTTAAAAGCATTCGGACAAGAACACACTCTCTGAACTCTTTGGTAGGCGCTTCTTCTCGTAGGAGTGTGTTAATTTGGAAGCCAACACAAGTTTTTACTGAACAAGGCCTATAGTTTTCCAGTTTACGCATTTTTTGCCCATAGTTATTGATTTGTTTGTTCCTACCCCAATAGTCTACAAAAGCCTCGGTTTAGTATAAAGCATCGCCATGGCTGCTAAATTGATTGATTCTTTTTTTTTTTTTAAACTTATCATGTGATTCTACTGCAGGAAGCTGTATCAGATGAATTCATTGACAACACTCTCAAATATTTTTGATGATGCAGTTGTAAGGTGTATGGCCTTTGGTGAGAGCACTAAACATGAAGAAAACAAGGTGCTAATGTGTACACTAGGAGAAAAGATGTAGTAATATCAGAGTAAAGCTTCAAAGGGAAGTCACTGGCTTTCAGAAACATTTGCATAACTATCAAAACTGAAAACAATAAACTATTTCAGCTTAACATGTTAAAAGAGCAAAGTCATTGGCTTTTTCAGGGAATTTTTACAAAATTCTCATCTTTACATCTTCTTTGATCACCAACCATGGATTCAAAAACATCCAACATATTATCCAAACCTTCACTATCTTCACCCATCTCCTTCATCGCGTATACAATGCTCTCTATTGTCGACAAACACCCCTCTCTCGGCTGCCTCCTAACTTCTCTGTACAAACTTGCACCTTCAATTTCCAGCTTCACATGGCTACACAAAAGCTTCAGCCACGGGTTCTCAACGTACATTCTCCTCGCCTTGGACCATGTCCCGTCAAGAACAATCAGATTCTTTACCTTCAGCTCTCTCTCTTTAAGATCATTGATCATCACAGAATCTTCGCTAGGGAACAACAACGCTGATCCAATAGGAACCTCGAGCTCAAACTCTTGCTTCCCTTCAGAGAACTTTGTTACCACAAACCCTTTTGCCAAGACATCCATGGCTGAAGGAGAAGCCAATATTCCATCAAAACTAGCATCTTCCATCAAAGAGGTGGAGACATTGCTGATTACACCTCGTTTCTTCATAGAGATTCTCATCAAATCCTCTGATATGCTTTCTTCACAAGAATCTAAATGTTGATAAAGCTTCAAACTTTCACCCATTTTTAAGCTTCCATTATCAACAGGCAACGCTTTCTTGTCAGATTCTAACTTTGAGCTATCAACAAGCTCCAAGGAGGCACCTTTAACCCTTATCAAGAACTCTGCCTCGTCATGGACATCGAAAACGGTGGTGACAGTAACATTCTTAAGCCCTAACCTAGCGATTCGAGTTGAGTTAAGCGCGTGTTTTCTCTCGAGGCTATGCTGCAGAATAGTAACACTCACCTGATTATCAAGACTCGGAGATCGGAACCGGTTGCAGAGGCAGAGCTGAGTGGGTTTAGCGCAAGAAGGGCAAGTGGGTCGCTTTGACTGCTGCTGCGACCCCATTCTTAGGGTTTTTGAAACCCTCAAGCCCTGACACCGTATACTACAATCGGCGAAGTTACTTCTAGAGAGGATCAGCTGTGTCCGGGCCACGACATGGCCCATCATCTGGTCCTAATGAATCGAAAGTTCCAACCTTTCCTACTACAGTACTAGTTTAACGGATGACGATGAGATTAAAACCAAACTAAACCGGAATAAACCGAGCGAAATGTTCAAAGATCAATCTTAAACCAAAAGAAATGTTCAAAAGCTCATTTTTTTTCAATTCCCATGTTTGTGTATCATAACCAAACCAAACCAGTCGACAAAAAAAAAAAAAATCTAACCAAACCAAATTAAACCGTGAGAAATGCTTAAAAGATCAATCTTCAAACCAAGATAAATGTTCAAAAGCTCAATTCTTTTTTCCAATTCTCATTTTTGTGTATCATAAACCAAACAATTACATAACCTGTAGTATCAGAGTAGCTACAGACCTGAGTTATATATTTACAAACAGATAAACCTAAAAGTTGTTTAGAGCTTTGCAGTGGTATTACATAAAACTTTTGTCCTAACAAACAAACAGACAAACAGTTGAGAGTTTCAATGGTTACTAGCAGTTATCTGGTCTGTTGTACTTTGGAGGCAGAGATGGACATTGTTCATTCATATGTGTGTATGGTTCCATAGTGTTGTAACCAGGGAGTTGCATTCTGTACTTGCCAAGTATCTGACAGTAAGGAAGCTTCACATTGTCATTGTCATTGCACCATTTAGGAAGTCTACTTGAATTTGTCTCGAAAAAGTTGAGCATGTAAGCGTCTTTGATCTGCCAGTTCAAATTAACAGGTTAAGAGAAAACGAGCTTGCGGGGCGGTAAGGAAAACAGAGAGTTATGTATTGGTTCTTACCGTGAACTCTGTGACTTGAACAGAATCAGCCAATGAGCCGAACAGGCCACCTTCTTTGTACATTTCGAGGATAAAAGCAATGCATGAGGTTGATTTACCATCGCTGTATATCCAATCGTCTTGTTCAGGTATTGCCAGTAATTTGTCAAAAGAAGACCCTCGCTTCTCTACTTCGACCAGTACATCAGAAAGATCAAGACCCTGCAACTTACAACATGTTAGAGAATATGATATAAAGAAGGACAAGGAACAAAGTCAAAGTATAGAAGCAGAGATTGATACCTCTGTTCCGAGACGCTTGTTCAAGGCTTCATTCCACATATTAGCTGCATAATCAGGCTGCATTTTGCTCCAAACAGTCATGAAAGAAGCAACCTGAAAAAAAGAGAAGAAGAAAAACTCTCAATTATAGAAAGAGTACTCGTTCACCAGGACCAAGATGTGAGAAAATGAAAAGAAAAACGTACAAGATGGGAATCGAGAGGAGGCGGGTAGTTCTCACTAACAGTATCGATCCAGCTAAAAATCAAGTTGTGATAACCATATGGTTTACCCTCCATGCTTCGAGCATATTCCCACGCAGCAGTAACGTTGAATTTCGCACGGACATCGGGATGCAAAGGTAACAATGCGATCTGAGGATTCGAGTCATCCTTTGTTTGTTCAAATTCCCACCACTCCTCCCATGGTAAGATCGCTATTACATCTTCTCCCTATGATCACAAAAACACTTCAACAAACGAAACTCTTATTTGTTAAAACTTAAAACTCTGAGATTTTGTTTACCTTCTCGTTTTCATTCCCAGACTCACCAACCCAGAGCTTCCCTTCTGAGTCTCTCAAACAGACAGCGGAATGACCAGCATACGCCCCGCTCACCCACTTCTCAAGAGTCTCGAAACCACCCCACCGTCCACGAATCTTCGAAATAGCTAGCAGATCACCAGACTGGATTTGATCAGTTGTAACGTTTGTAACCCATGGTTCAGGACGAGCTTCAAACTCAGCTCCCATATGCTTCTCAAGAAACGCGAGGTTAGAGCTCTCTCCCCAACCAGTATTGGTAAAGAGAGGAAAAACATCCCATAACGCTTGAAGTGTTCCTAACATCCCAGCGTGCATAAGGAATATCGAAACTCCCTTATTCTTAACCTGATAACACCCCAAAAAGAAAACGCATCAAACAAAGGCAATCCTAAACAAATAAGCCAAAATACATAGTAACAATTATCTTACATATTCATACTCGGCTAAACCATCCCACTCCGGGAATTCCACAGTGTGGGCACGTGAAATGAAGTACCAAGTCCATGTCACGCGATACGGAGTTGCAAAGACATAAAGATCCATGCAAGTCCAACTATGCGCTTTATCCGCCTTCACAAACACACAAACCCAAAAGAACAAAACTTAATATTTATCCACTAGTTAAAGATGAAGCCTTTACATACTAAACTCAACAAGTACTCCCCTTTTCATTAGCCCAAAACAAGGAAGCGTATTCTAAGAACGACCCACAAGAGAAGAAGGTCAAATACAAACATAATTAACATTAGCCATTTAGCCCTAGAAATTGAATTAAAATCAGAAACTTGCAATAGCCAAAATTGAAGACTATAAACTTAAGATTTATCCACTAGTTAAAAATGGAGTCTTTACATACAAAACCCAGCAAGTACTCCCCTTTTCATTAGCCCAAAACAAGGAAGTGTATTCTAAGAACGACCCACAAGAGAAGAAGGTCAAATACAAACATAATTAACATTAGCCATTTAGCCCTAGAAACTGAAATTAAAATCAGAAACTTGCAAGAGTCAAAACTGAAGACAATTAACTCCAATAAACACTCAATTACGATCATAGAGCACGAAATCGATTCGAATTGAATTTTGAGTTTTGAATTGCAATACCTTGATGTGAAGAGTGCCTCCACCAAACTGGGTACCGGACTTGTTATGAAACTCCAAATAAGCAGTGTTCTCGTAGAAACAAGCGCCTTTCCACTTGACGTCATCGTTCCCTGGGCTCGCTGTTCCGATGAAAGTGGGAAGGAGATCGGCGGCGCCGTTGAGGGAATTGAGAATCGGCCACGAGACTTCCCTCGGCAAGAGAGGAAGCAAGTCGCGAGGGTGGAAAGGAGAGTTCAGTGATTCCGCCGCCGTTGAAATAGTTAGAATCAGAACGGCGATGGTGAACAGAGAGGGAAGCGTGAAGGAAGACGATGAGGAAGATGAAGACGCCATTGTCCGTTTTCTTTTGGGGTTCGTCGTCTCTCCACGATGTTTAATTGTTTTAGTTATATTTTCCCTCGAAAATGTACTTTATTTATATTGTTAGTTTTATACATTGCTTGCAAAATGCTCCTGATGTTTACTGTTTCCACGTAACATCTTCATTTATAATCAAAATATCATTAGAAAAATAACTTGGACATCACTAAAAATTTTTTTATCACAAGATGCATATAAGAATTAAAATGAATAAAATTAGTTTTATTAAAATGGCAGATGATAATAATATTTTATATTTATTCTATAAATATATAAAATTAAATAAATATTTTTAAAAAAATACTTTTCTAAAAATTATAAAATTTTCTTTTCTAAAAAATATTCAAAAGTTTTTGTATATAAATCAAATTACACATTTAGGAAGAACTTTCTAAACATATTTATAAGTTACCACTACAAGAAAACACGGGCATAACGACCACAGAAATAGAGGTAATTTGGTCGTAAATAGACTTTTACGACCACATAACAACGAAACGCGTTTAGTCGTAACCAGCCCGTCGTAATAAAATTTTGGTCGTAATGTGGACTTAAATATTACGACTAAATATATTGGTCGTAACACAAACGTAAATAAAGTAGTTGTACTCGAGATGTGGATTTGACGTAAAGTTACGTCCAATCTGTTAGACGTTAGTTGGTCGTAAAATTTGGTAGTAAAGTAGAAGTCAATCTCGACGTAAAATAGTATTTAAATCGAGGTAACGTGTACGACCACATAACCTCGACTCTTGAATAATAGACACAACTTGGTCGTAAAATGTACGACCAGATAACTTCGGTTTGATTTATTTAATACGACCAATAACCTCTAGAAATATAATAAAATTTCACTTTTAAAATCCACAAATTTAAAATTTTTAATTTACGAAATTTAATATTTAATTAAAAATCATTCATTTCGAAAAGAAATTTAACTTAATATATCCAAAACATAATAAAAATATATATTCAAATTACATAAGAAAACTAATTAATTATTAAGATTAATGTCTGCGAAAA